CCCATGCTGTGTGTGTCCCCATGCTGTGTGTGTCCCCATGCTGTGTCCCCATGCTGTGTGTGTCCCCATGCTGTGTGTGTCCCCATGCTGTGTCCCCATGCTGTGTGTGTCCCCATGCTGTGTGTGTCCCCATGCTGTGTCCCCATGCTGTGTGTGTACCCATGCTGTGTGTGTACCCATGCTGTGTGTGTCCCATGCTGTGTGTGTCCCCATGCTGTGTGTGTCCCCATGCTGTGTGTGTCCCCATGCTGTGTGTGTCCCCATGCTGTGTGTGTCCTCATGCTGTGTGTGTCCCCATGCTGTGTGTGTCCCCATGCTGTGTGTGTCCCCATGCTGTGTGTGTCCCCATGCTGTGTGTGTCCCCATGCTGTGTCCCCATGCTGTGTGTGTCCCCATGCTGTGTGTGTCCCCATGCTGTGTGTGTCCCCATGCTGTGTCCCATGCTGTGTGTGTCCCCATGCTGTGTGTGTCCCCATGCTGTGTGTGTCCCCATGCTGTGTGTGTCCCCATGCTGTGTGTGTCCCCATGATGTGTCCCCATGCTGTGTGTGTCCCCATGCTGTGTGTGTCCCCATGCTGTGTGTGTCCCCATGCTGTGTGTGTCCCCATGCTGTGTGTTTCCCCAAGCTGTGTGTGTCCCCATGCTGTGTGTGTCCCCATGCTGTGTGTGTCCCCATGCTGTGTGTGTCCCCATGCTGTGTGTGTCCCCATGCTGTGTGTGTCCCCATGCTGTGTGTGTCTCCATGCTGTGTGTGTCCCCATGCTGTGTGTGTCCCCATGCTGTGTGTGTCCCCATGCTGTGTCCCATGCTGTGTGTGTCCCCATGCTGTGTGTGTCCCCATGCTGAGTCCCCATGCTGTGTGTGTCCCCATGCTGTGTGTGTCCCCATGCTGTGTCCCATGCTGTGTGTGTCCCCATGCTGTGTGTGTCCCCATGCTGTGTCCCCATGATGTGTCCCCATGCTGTGTGTGTCCCCATGCTGTGTCCCCATGCTGTGTCCCCATGCTGTGTGTGTCCCCATGCTGTGTCCCCATGCTGTGTCCCCATGCTGTGTCCCCATGCTGTGTGTGTCCCCATGCTGTGTGTGTCCCCATGCTGTGTGTCCCCATGCTGTGTGTGTCCCCATGCTGTGTCCCCATGCTGTGTCCCCATGCTGTGTGTGTCCCCATGCTGTGTGTGTCCCCATGCTGTGTGTGTCCCCATGCTGTGTGTGTCCCCATGATGTGTGTGTCCCCATGCTGTGTGTGTCCCCATGCTGTGTGTGTCCCCATGCTGTGTGTGTCCCCATGCTGTGTGTGTCCCCATGCTGTGTCCCCATGCTGTGTCCCCATGCTGTGTGTGTCCCCATGCTGTGTGTGTCCCCATGCTGTGTGTGTCCCCATGATGTGTGTGTCCCCATGCTGTGTGTGTCCCCATGCTGTGTGTGTCCCCATGCTGTGTCCCCATGCTGTGTGTGTCCCCATGATGTGTGTGTCCCCATGCTGTGTGTGTCCCCATGCTGTGTGTGTCCCCATGCTGTGTGTGTCCCCATGCTGTGTCCCCATGCTGTGTGTGTCCCCATGCTGTGTGTGTCCCCATGCTGTGTGTGTCCCCATGCTGTGTGTGTCCCCATGCTGTGTCCCCATGCTGTGTGTGTCCCCATGCTGTGTGTGTCCCCATGCTGTGTGTGTCCCCATGCTGTGTCCCCATGCTGTGTGTGTCCCCATGCTGTGTGTGTCCCCATGCTGTGTGTGTCCCCATGCTGTGTGTGTCCCCATGCTGTGTGTGTCCCCATGCTGTGTCCCATGCTGTGTGTGTCCCATGCTGTGTGTGTCCCCATGCTGTGTCCCCATGCTGCTGTGTGTGTCCCCATGCTGTGTGTGTCCCCATGCTGTGTGTGTCCCCATGCTGCGTGTGTCCCCATGCTGTGTGTGTCCCCATGCTGTGTGTGTCCCCATGCTGTGTGTGTCCCCATGCTGTGTGTGTCCCCATGCTGTGTGTGTCCCCATGCTGTGTGTGTCCCCATGCTGTGTGTGTCCCCATGCTGTGTGTGTCCCCATGCTGTGTGTGTCCCCATGCTGTGTGTGTCCCCATGCTGTGTGTGTCCCCATGCTGTGTGTGTCCCCATGTTGTGTCCCCATGCTGTGTCCCCATGCTGTGTGTGTCCCCATGCTGTGTGTGTCCTCATGCTGTGTGTGTCCCCATGCTGTGTGTGTCCCCATGCTGTGTGTGTCCCCATGCTGTGTGTGTCCCCATGATGTGTCCCCATGATGTGTGTGTCCCCATGCTGTGTGTGTCCCCATGCTGTGTGTGTCCCCATGCTGTGTGTGTCCCCATGATGTGTCCCCATGATGTGTGTGTCCCCATGCTGTGTCCCCATGCTGTGTCCCCATGCTGTGTGTGTCCCCATGCTGTGTCCCCATGCTGTGTCCCCATGCTGTGTGTGTCCCCATGCTGTGTGTGTCCCCATGCTGTGTCCCCATGCTGTGTCCCCATGCTGTGTGTGCCCCATGCTGTGTGTGTCCCCATGCTGTGTGTGTCCCCATGCTGTGTCCCCATGCTGTGTGTGTCCCCATGCTGTGTGTGTCCCCATGCTGTGTGTGTCCCCATGCTGTGTGTGTCCCCATGCTGTGTGTGTCCCCATGCTGTGTGTGTCCCCATGCTGTGTCCCCATGCTGTGTGTGTCCCCATGCTGTGTGTGTCCCCATGCTGTGTGTGTCCCCATGCTGTGTCCCATGCTGTGTGTGTCCCCATGCTGTGTGTGTCCCCATGCTGTGTGTGTCCCCATGCTGTGTGTGTCCCCATGCTGTGTGTGTCCCCATGATGTGTCCCCATGCTGTGTGTGTCCCCATGCTGTGTGTGTCCCCATGCTGTGTGTGTCCCCATGCTGTGTGTGTCCCCATGCTGTGTGTTTCCCCAAGCTGTGTGTGTCCCCATGCTGTGTGTGTCCCCATGCTGTGTGTGTCCCCATGCTGTGTGTGTCCCCATGCTGTGTGTGTCCCCATGCTGTGTGTGTCCCCATGCTGTGTGTGTCTCCATGCTGTGTGTGTCCCCATGCTGTGTGTGTCCCCATGCTGTGTGTGTCCCCATGCTGTGTCCCATGCTGTGTGTGTCCCCATGCTGTGTGTGTCCCCATGCTGAGTCCCCATGCTGTGTGTGTCCCCATGCTGTGTGTGTCCCCATGCTGTGTCCCATGCTGTGTGTGTCCCCATGCTGTGTGTGTCCCCATGCTGTGTCCCCATGATGTGTCCCCATGCTGTGTGTGTCCCCATGCTGTGTCCCCATGCTGTGTCCCCATGCTGTGTGTGTCCCCATGCTGTGTCCCCATGCTGTGTCCCCATGCTGTGTCCCCATGCTGTGTGTGTCCCCATGCTGTGTGTGTCCCCATGCTGTGTGTCCCCATGCTGTGTGTGTCCCCATGCTGTGTCCCCATGCTGTGTCCCCATGCTGTGTGTGTCCCCATGCTGTGTGTGTCCCCATGCTGTGTGTGTCCCCATGCTGTGTGTGTCCCCATGATGTGTGTGTCCCCATGCTGTGTGTGTCCCCATGCTGTGTGTGTCCCCATGCTGTGTGTGTCCCCATGCTGTGTGTGTCCCCATGCTGTGTCCCCATGCTGTGTCCCCATGCTGTGTGTGTCCCCATGCTGTGTGTGTCCCCATGCTGTGTGTGTCCCCATGATGTGTGTGTCCCCATGCTGTGTGTGTCCCCATGCTGTGTGTGTCCCCATGCTGTGTCCCCATGCTGTGTGTGTCCCCATGATGTGTGTGTCCCCATGCTGTGTGTGTCCCCATGCTGTGTGTGTCCCCATGCTGTGTGTGTCCCCATGCTGTGTCCCCATGCTGTGTGTGTCCCCATGCTGTGTGTGTCCCCATGCTGTGTGTGTCCCCATGCTGTGTGTGTCCCCATGCTGTGTCCCCATGCTGTGTGTGTCCCCATGCTGTGTGTGTCCCCATGCTGTGTGTGTCCCCATGCTGTGTCCCCATGCTGTGTGTGTCCCCATGCTGTGTGTGTCCCCATGCTGTGTGTGTCCCCATGCTGTGTGTGTCCCCATGCTGTGTGTGTCCCCATGCTGTGTCCCATGCTGTGTGTGTCCCATGCTGTGTGTGTCCCCATGCTGTGTCCCCATGCTGCTGTGTGTGTCCCCATGCTGTGTGTGTCCCCATGCTGTGTGTGTCCCCATGCTGCGTGTGTCCCCATGCTGTGTGTGTCCCCATGCTGTGTGTGTCCCCATGCTGTGTGTGTCCCCATGCTGTGTGTGTCCCCATGCTGTGTGTGTCCCCATGCTGTGTGTGTCCCCATGCTGTGTGTGTCCCCATGCTGTGTGTGTCCCCATGCTGTGTGTGTCCCCATGCTGTGTGTGTCCCCATGCTGTGTGTGTCCCCATGCTGTGTGTGTCCCCATGTTGTGTCCCCATGCTGTGTCCCCATGCTGTGTGTGTCCCCATGCTGTGTGTGTCCTCATGCTGTGTGTGTCCCCATGCTGTGTGTGTCCCCATGCTGTGTGTGTCCCCATGCTGTGTGTGTCCCCATGATGTGTCCCCATGATGTGTGTGTCCCCATGCTGTGTGTGTCCCCATGCTGTGTGTGTCCCCATGCTGTGTGTGTCCCCATGATGTGTCCCCATGATGTGTGTGTCCCCATGCTGTGTCCCCATGCTGTGTCCCCATGCTGTGTGTGTCCCCATGCTGTGTCCCCATGCTGTGTCCCCATGCTGTGTGTGTCCCCATGCTGTGTGTGTCCCCATGCTGTGTCCCCATGCTGTGTCCCCATGCTGTGTGTGCCCCATGCTGTGTGTGTCCCCATGCTGTGTGTGTCCCCATGCTGTGTCCCCATGCTGTGTGTGTCCCCATGCTGTGTGTGTCCCCATGCTGTGTGTGTCCCCATGCTGTGTGTGTCCCCATGCTGTGTGTGTCCCCATGCTGTGTGTGTCCCCATGTTGTGTGTGTCCCCATGATGTGTGTGTCCCCATGATGTGTCCCCATGCTGTGTCCCCATGCACTAACACCCTGTGGTCTGGTTCTAGGCATGGGAGTCGAGACTGCGGCCAGAAGAGCAGGAGGATGTTCCCATGCTGGAGCCCCTCTTTAAAATCAACAGCTACACGTCTAAGCAGGTCAGTCTCATTAGGTCACTCACTCTAATTAGTGCTACATTCTACATCACTCTAATTAGTGCTACATTCTACATCACTCTAATTAGTGCTACATTCTACATCACATCACTCTAATTAGTGCTACATTCTACATCACATCACTCTAATTAGTGCTGCATTATACATCACTCTAATTAGTGCTACATTCAACATCTCTCTAATTACTGCTACATTCTACATCACTCTAATTAGTGCTGCTTTCTACATCACTCTAATTACTGCTACATTCTACATCACTCTAATTACTGCTACATTCAACATCACTCTAATTAGTGCTACATTCTATATCACTCTAATTAGTGCTACATTCTACATCACTCTAATTAGTGCTACATTCTACATCACTCTAATTAGTGCTACATTCTACATCACTCTAATTAGTGCTACATTCTTCACCACTCTAATTAGTGCTACCTTCTACATCACTCTAATTAGTACTACATTCTACATCACTCTAATTAGTGCTACATTCTACATCACTCTAATTAGTGCTACATTCTACATCACATCACTCTAATTAGTGCTACATTCTACATCACTTTAATTAGTGATACATTCTACATCACTCTAATTAGTGCTACATTCTATATCACTCTAATTAGTGCTACATTCAACATTAGCTCACTCTAGTGCTACATTCAACATTAGCTCACTCTAGTGCTACATTCAACATTAGATCACTCTAATTAGTGCCATGTACAACATTTTCTGGTTTTTACTAAGTGTACATTCAAGACTGTGTTAATCTAAATAGTGCTAGGCCTGCAGTTAAGATGTTACAACTAATGTAAGTGTACGTTACAGCTAATGTAAGTGTACGTTACAGCTAATGTAAGTGTAAGTGAATGTTGAACAGATTACATCAGACCACAGAATCAGACTGGAGCAGCGCCTACGTGAAGCTGGTCTCCTCAACACAGACTACGGGAGACATGTGATCAGACACGCCACACCCCCCATTCAGCCACGGAAAGATCAGCTGCATACCTTCAAATTTTCTGATTCATGATTTGTCCTACCTCAAGTAGAGATAGGACATGATTTGTCCTACCTCAAGTAGAGATTAGACATGATTTGTCCTACCTCAAGTAGAGATAGGACATGATTTGTCCTACCTCAAGTAGAGATAGGACTTGATTTGTCCTACCTCAAGTAGAGATAGGACATTGTAGATTGCTTGAATTTGTTGTTTCAGTGGATTTGTCCTTGTGGATTGTTTGTGTTTGTATGAGTCATGATAGAATGGACATTCCCACGACAAACAGCCTCTAATGTTCCCACAACAGCCTCTAATGTTCCCACAACAAACAGCCTCTAATGTTCCCACAACAAACAGCCTCTAATGTTCCCACAACAAACAGCCTCTAATGTTCCCACAACAGCCTCTAATGTTCCCACAACAAACAGCCTCTAATGTTCCCACAACAGCCTCTAATGTTCCCACAACAAAACAGCCTCTAATGTTCCCACAACAAACAGCCTCTAATGTTCCCACAACAAACAGCCTCTAATGTTCCCACAACAAACAGCCTCTAATGTTCCCACAACAAACAGCCTCTAATGTTCCCTCAATAAACAGCCTCTAATGTTCCCACAACAGCCGCTAATGTTCCCACAACAAACAGCCTCTAATGTTCCCTCAATAAACAGCCTCTAATGTTCCCACAACAAACAGCCTCTAATGTTCCCACAACAGCCTCTAATGTTCCCACTACAAACAGCCTCTAATGTTCCCACAACAGCCTCTAATGTTCCCTCATTAAACAGCCTCTAATGTTCCCACTACAAACAGCCTCTAATGTTCCCTCAATAAACAGCCTCTAATGTTCCCACAACAGCCTCTAATGTTCCCACAACAGCCTCTAATGTTCCCACAACAAACAGCCTCTAATGTTCCCACAACAGCCTCTAATGTTCCCTCAATAAACAGCCTCTAATGTTCCCACAACAAACAGCCTCTAATGTTCCCACAACAAACAGCCTCTAATGTTCCCACAACAAACAGCCTCTAATGTTCCCACAACAGCCTCTGATGTTCCCACAACAAACAGCCTCTAATGTTCCCTCAACAAACAGCCTCTAATGTTCCCTCAATAAACAGCCGCTAATGTTCCCACAACAGCCTCTAATGTTCCCTCAATAAACAGCCTCTAATGTTCCCACAACAGCCTCTAATGTTCCCTCAATAAACAGCCACTAATGTTCCCACAACAAACAGCCTCTAATGTTCCCACAACAGCCTCTAATGTTCCCTCAACAAACAGCCTCTAATGTTCCCACAACAGCCTCTAATGTTCCCACAACAAACAGCCTCTAATGTCCCCACAACAGCCTCTAATGTTCCCACAACAGCCTCTAATGTTCCCACAACAAACAGCCTCTAATGTTCCCTCAATAAACAGCCGCTAATGTTCCCACAACAGCCTCTAATGTTCCCACAACAAACAGCCTCTAATGTTCCCACAACAAACAGCCTCTAATGTTCCCTCAATAAACAGCCGCTAATGTTCCCACAACAGCCTCTAATGTTCCCACAACAAACAGCCTCTAATGTTCCCACAACAGCCTCTAATGTTCCCACAACAGCCTCTAATGTTCCCACAACAAACAGCCTCTAATGTTCCCACAACAAACAGCCTCTAATGTCCGCACAACAGTGGGAACGGTTGAATGTTGATCAGCCAATAATCTGTGTGAATAAATGTAAGAATTTGATCTGCTCTCTGTCTATTTGATTGTCATTGTCTTTGGCAGGTCCATCAAATATTAAAATATTTAATTTTTGGAAAAAACATTGTTTTGGGGTTTGATTTACAGGCCTACTCCTACTATATATATATATATATATATATATATATATATATATATATATATATAGAGAGAGAGAGAGAGAGAGAGAGAGAGAGAGAGAGAGAGAGAGAGAGAGAGAGAGAGAGAGAGGATAGTATGTGCTATCTGGCTCGCCGGGTGTTCTCTTGACTTGATCGCTATGGCGCACACTTCCGTTTTAAAGAGTGCGATGCGTCAGCTGGCGCCCCGGTATGATGCGATTTGGCGCTCTGGCACTATTACCCCCACTTTTAAGGCGCACCCTATTACATTGACATGGTGGCACACGGTATTCGTTGACTAAACCGAGCAAAGGGCCAGTATGCGGCGCCCCTGCGGTAGTGTAACTGGGGGCTCTCCAGAGCGCCCTGCTACGCCCCTGACACCTGAGATGTCGCCGAAGTGTGTTCTAACTCACTATCACTGAGAGTGGTTCACGTACACTCGCTACCATACACCCTGGGGCGTGATGTTTGTTTGTCCTTTATGCGTCACTACAGCTTTTATCCGATCACCGTGAAACTTAGGGGAGTTGGTGAGAATACTCCTTGCGAGGTTTCTGCAGGAAAAAAAATTCAATTTCGCAGGGGTGGGGCCCCGGCAGGGTGCTATTTCGCGCCCCAGACGGTAGTGTGGGCAAACCCGTGCCCCGACAAATATGATTCAAAAAAATATAACGCAGGCATTGTTTATATTTTAAATAAGTTTTAGAAAACAAGGTCACACGTCTAAGAAGTTAGTATTGGTAAAGCATTGACGAAACCCTTTTCAAATATTGCATCAGAGACATTCTTCTGAGATGATGGTGCCGGGCGTGCACACTAGAGGCAATTAATAAAAGCAATGAGCTTATCTGTCCAGTTGTTAATACTGCTCAGTTATTATGTTAGTGGTAATATAGGTGGGGGTTTGTTTTTCATGAAGTATTTAACCTACAGATGAAATGCGGAATAGTTGAGTTCTATGAATATTTTTGGTAACTCCACAAAATTAGAAAATGTTTTTTCTACCTGGCTGTGGTTATTTAAACAAACTAGGTCATGGTAATGTTGAACTGCAGCCCATTAAATGATATTGAATAACCGAACATACGTGCAAAATATTGTTCAATTGTAAATGTCACGAAACAACCTTTAAAAAAATGGACCTCAATTCCATGAACCGGAAGAGATTGGAACACAAAGATGATGTGGTACTGTTCCTTTGAGGTTTACCCAGGGGCCATTGTGATATGTCGTTCAACGGAACAGTACCATACTGTGATATATGTCGTTCAACGGAACAGTACCATACTGTGATATATCGTTCAACGGAACAGTACCATACTGTGATATATATCGTTCAACGGAACAGTACCATACTGTGATATATCGTTCAACGGAACAGTACCATACTGTGATATATATCGTTCAACGGAACAGTACCATACTGTGATATATCGTTCAACGGAACAGTACCATACTGTGATATATATCGTTCAACGGAACAGTACCATACTGTGATATATATCGTTCAACGGAACAGTACCATACTAAGCCATACTTAAATAGAGATCCATATGCCTGATAATCAAGCCTATGGATCTCTACTTGAAAAGTTAATTTTTTTTTTTCTGGACGATTTTTACCTCCACATCGTCACAAAAAAAAAAAAAAAAAAAAAAAAAAAAGCCACACGCACTCCCCTAAAACGACGCCACACCTTCGTCTACAAACAATCCCCTCGAAATTGCACCTCGTGTTTTTGAAACACCCATTTCTTGAGTAGTCAATATAAGTCCGTATCTTTTACAATTTACAAATGCAGTCTTTAAAAAAAAGTCTATTAAATATTTTTTTTCAATGCAGTGTTAATGAAAACATTTTCGGAACACTTTTCACATGGCCATATGGTAAATATAAATGATTCAAAATTCAAATGTGGCTTGGCTTGATCATGTGGCTTCTGCCAAAAATGCGCCCAAAACATTGGTTTTTAGCGCAATTTCCATTCTGGAGAATTGCGTTTATTAACTCGTCATTTCTGGGAATGGATGGATGAATGAATGTATGGATGAATGTGTGTCCGGGCTTTAAGTCGTATCTCCTCCTCAACGAAGCAATATCGATGACTAGTTCCAAAAGCAATTATGTTAAGCAAGTTACGAGAATGAGCATAGGCCATAAAAATTCCGGGTTTCTTTCATGTATTTCCCGGAAAAGCCAAAAAACCTCGAAAAAATTCAGTTTTTGGCCTATATCTCGGCAACCAGACCACTTAGCGACTTGAAACATATACCAATCGATTCCTGCCATAATTTAGAACAATATTGCCGAAGAAAGTTTTCAAAAATATCCTCTCGTTCGGTCACAAATTTTAAAATTACATAAACACCTACAAACCGATCGTTCTTCTAGCTTGAACGCACCCCAGTATTATACGTCAGAGCTATTTTTAGATAACATAAGGAAATTGCGCATAAATGTCACTAGACTTTTTAAATTAACTTGTTTAATTTGCACACCATCCAAACGCGTGTTGCGTAGATAACTAATAGAAATGTTTGATACACTACAGTGAAACGAAATAACGGCGTTTCTAGATCTATAGCCAATCAAAGTTTGTCTCACTAAATTGAAACTGCAGGTTAAAATGTCAGTTTGTATTTCAAAATAAAATGTAGACTGGGACAAAAATATTTTTAAAGTTCTCTGCTTTATCAAATTTTATAGCATGTATTCTTAAAATATTTGACTTCAATTTCGTGGTTGTTGTTTTTTTTTTTTCAGTTTTAGTTGTTTTTTTTTTTAATTTTTTAAATTCTGTTACTCAGGAGACGTAACGTAGAAATGCAGGCTTTTGGTCAAATGTCCACATCAGCGATCGGGTCCCTCTCACCCAACATGTTTAGCGCCAACACAATGCGCGATATGTTTGTTAGATCTACGCGCATTCTCTGTTCAACTAAAAATAACACCAAAACGTTACCGAAGGTCACAACACCCTCAACGGTTCAACAGTGTGTTCCGCTCAGTCACGTGATCGGGTTTGAAAGTTTGCCAGCGCCAGGTGACGCCAAGCGTTGCTTGCTGGGCGTGAAGTCGGAGTTATCTTCCTTTGTCTGGCCCTATTCTGTACACCAGTAGATTAGAGTGGGTGACTAGCCGCCTCCTGTGGTCAAGTTAATCCCTCTACTGCTTATGTACAAAACTTCAACTGTTTACTAGTTTGCTTAGCGTTGAGTACATTTGAAAGCTGGCTTAAAGAATGCACATGGAAATAACGTGGGTGTTACCGAGACATTTATCGATATGATTTATTTTGTGCCCATTGCAGCTACTTGTGACACAATACCAGTTTTCTTACTTGGCCGGTAACTTGTTGGCAGCCATCCCGGGCGCCGACACTTTAGGGGCGCCAAACGGGGTAGAAAAAAATATTTTGAGCTGCAGTACGGATTATACATAAAGTTAATAAAATAGACTGATACTTGGCTCAACAGACTGATTACTGTTTTCTACATCTATGTTTGGTACCAAAATTAAATGGGGGGGGGGGGGGGGGGGCTTTCTTGCTAACTTGAAAACCAATGTATAAATAGGTGGTGCTAAACTGATACTGTGCCCCCGACTCGGAATGGATAGTTACGCCTCAGCCGGTGTCATATACGGTAGTATTTTAATGTTTAAGACACGTGAGTACAACAAATACAGTGACACACAAGATTACACCAACAAATTAAGGACAATGACACACAATTACACCAACAAATTAAGGATAATGACACATAATTACACCATCAAATTAAGGATAATGACACACAATTACACCAACAAATTAAGGATAATGACACACAATTACACCAACAAATTAAGGATAATGACACACAATTACACCAACAAATTAAGGATAATGACACACAATTACACCAACAAATTAAGGACAATGACACACAATTACACCATCAAATTAAGGACAATGACACATGATTACACCAACAAATTAAGGATAATGACACACAATTACACCAACAAATTAAGGATAATGACACACAATTACACCATCAAATTAAGGATAATGACACACAATTACACCAACAAATTAAGGATAATGACACACAATTACACCAACAAATTAAGGACAATGACACACAATTACACCAACAAATTAAGGATAATGACACATGATTACACCAACAAATTAAGGATAATGACACACAATTACACCATCAAATTAAGGATAATGACACATGATTACACCAACAAATTAAGGATAATGACACACAATTACACCATCAAATTAAGGATAATGACACACGATTACACCAACAAATTAAGGATAATGACACACAATTACACCATCAAATTAAGGACAATGACACACAATTACACCAACAAATTAAGGATAATGACACATAATTACACCATCAAATTAAGGATAATGACACACAATTACACCAACAAATTAAGGATAATGACACACAATTACACCAACAAATTAAGGATAATGACACACAATTACACCAACAAATTAAGGACAATGACACATAATTACACCATCAAATTAAGGATAATGACACACAATTACACCAACAAATTAAGGATAATGACACACAATTACACCAACAAATTAAGGACAATGACACATGATCACACCAACAAATTAAGGACAATGACACACAATTACACCAACAAATTAAGGACAATGACACACAATTACACCAACAAATTAAGGACAATGACACATGATCACACCAACAAATTAAGGATAATGACACAATTACACCATCAAATTAAGGACAATGACACATAATTACACCAACAAATTAAGGACAATGACACATGATCTCACCAACAAATTAAGGACAATGACACATGATCACACCAACAAATTAAGGACAATGACACACAATTACACCAACAAATTAAGGACAATGACACATGATCACACCAACAAATTAAGGATAATGACACAATTACACCATCAAATTAAGGACAATGACACATAATTACACCATCAAATTAAGGACAATGACACATAATTACACCATCAAATTAAGGACAATTACACCAACAAATTAAGGATAATGACACATGATTACACCATCAAATTAAGGATAATGACACACAATTACACCATCAAATTAAGGATAATGACACATGATTACACCAACAAATTAAGGATAATGACACACGATTACACCATCAAATTAAGGACAATGACACACAATTACACCAACAAATTAAGGATAATGACACACAATTACACCAACAAATTAAGGATAATGACACACAATTACACCAACAAATTAAGGACAATGACACATAATTACACCAACAAATTAAGGATAATGACACTTAATTACACCAACAAATTAAGGATAATGACACATGATTACACCAACAAATTAAGGACAATGACACACAATTACACCAACAAATTAAGGACAATGACACACAATTACACCAACAAATTAAGGATAATGACACATAATTACACCATCAAATTAAGGACAATGACACACAATTACACCAACAAATTAAGGATAATGACACTTAATTACACCAACAAATTAAGGATAATGACACATGATTACACCAACAAATTAAGGACAATGACACACAATTACACCAACAAATTAAGGATAATGACACTTAATTACACCAACAAATTAAGGATAATGACACATGATTACACCAACAAATTAAGGACAATGACACACAATTACACCAACAAATTAAGGACAATGACACATAATTACACCAACAAATTAAGGACAATGACACATGATTACTACACACACACTAGTTTCCCATATGTTCCGAAAACGAGAAAGGAAAAGATACAAAACCACATCTACACACAATGTCCACAGAGCTTATGCTGTGCATGAGGATCGGCGCGAGCATATTTCCTCATCACTTAATCATAGCGACATACCCTATATGACTACACCTATATTTCTGTATAGGCCCTGATATATATATATATATATATATATATATATATATATATATATATATATATATATATATATATATATATATATATATATATATATATATATATATATATATATATATATATATATATATATATATATATATATATATATATATATATATATATATATATATATATATATATATATATATATATATATATCGCGAGGCGGGAAGGGGGTTGCGGACCGTACCGGGTGACACCATTTAGGGGTGTGACACCAAGATAAAACAAATGCAATATATATAGAATAAATGTTTTTTTTTGCATGCTCAATGAATGATTAATTAGTGTTAAAAAGGATTTTAAATACTAATTTGTAATCCCGAGAAAGGGGGGGGGAGGGGTGACACTATGAGGTAAACATACACGCTATAGACAAAAGAATGGTACACCCATCTGTATTAACAACTGACTGACATCATTAGTATTAAATGTGAACACTTTAAAGCTTTTACCGGAGGGGGGTGAAAACAACTGCAAAATTTACAGAGCAAAAAAAAAAGGGGGGGGGTGACAACCGGCTAGCGACGCCACTGTTATATATACAGGTCTATTGGTTTTGTCACACTCTGGTATACAGTAACCAAGTACAAGGCCTACTGAGACCTTTGTCACACTCTGGTATACAGTAACCAAGTACAAGGCCTACTGAGACCTTTGTCACACTCTGGTATACAGTAACCAAGTACAAGGCCTACTGAGACCTTTGTCACACTCTGTTATACAGTAACCAAGTACAAGGCCTACTGAGACCTTTGTCACACTCTGGTATACAGTAACCAAGTACAAGGCCTACTGACAGGGGCGTAGCGAGGGGGGGGCGGGGTTGCGGACCGCACCGGGTGACACCATTTAGGGTGGTGACACCAAGGCAAAAAATAGCAAAATATATAGAGAAAAACTTGAGGGGGTGCAAATCATACAGTAACCTACGTCTCTGGGGGGGGGGGGGTAACATCATTAAGTGCCGCACCGGGTGACACCCGACCTCGCTACGCCACTGCCTACTGAGATTTTCATAAGGTCAGCCAAAATTAAGCTGATGTTTTAGAATTTAGATCTAGACCAGGTGGTGCAGTTGGATACAGAAAAAAAATAATTAAGAAAACATTTAGATCCAGATATCTATAGATACTAGGGACGTTAGACTTAAAGCAAAATAAATTTTCTTGAAACTATGACGAAATCGCGTTCTAAAACGGTTTAAAGACTGATCGCAAGGCACCTTACTATTTAGCAGTTAACGAACGAATCATTGTGATAACTTTGCCCCCAACTTAATCTAGTATTTTTTTGTTTTACATTTATTTCGTAAAGAGGACAGTTATGTATCATGATTTTAATTAGTCTAGATTCTAACACACACAAAAAAGTAGATCTATGACATGATTTTCGAAAATTTTAAATAGTTTGTTGATATTTATCTACAAATGAAAAAATACTAAACACATTTTTAATAAAAGTTTATTTTCAGAACTATAAGGCCGAAAGTCTTCTCCCCCCCCCCCCTCACCCTCATCTGCCTGTCTGATGTGATACGCCACTCCCCCAGGCGCAGGTTTGTTTGATGACCTTAATATTGGGGAAAAAACCTGTTGGCTATTAGGCTTAGATTAATATAGCCTAGCGCCGCCCTGCTTCATTCTGATCTTTAACACACATTTTCCCAATTCTTTGATACGTTCAAATAACTAACATTAAGCCCTATATCCACGTAATTTTTGTTTAAAAAGAAGAGATAATTATCTTCTATGGTTGTAGGCCTATGCCTAGGCTAAAACCGGTCTATCTATTTCGTTTCGTATACAGCGTGAACAAGTTCTATTTTTATCGACGCGAAGGCCTCATCTCGTGACGTGACCGAACTACGGCATTCCTGCTTCGACTACCAGCAAGGGAGGACGTATTTGTACCTTAGCTTGAAGCTTTTCCGAAAATGTCGGACTAACACAGGTTATGATTAATACAAATAGGAGAACTGTGATTTTTTAATGCTTATCTATCAATTTTATTGTTATTTAAGTGTAAATAATACGTTTCTCAAGGGTACATGCATTCGCAATAGAATTGCTTCGTTAACAGCGTGCAACGCATTAATGGGAAATGGCGGTAAAAAAGTAGGTCACATGATTGTCAGTAGGCTAGGTCGCCGTTAGGCTTATGTGACCTTAGGCCACATAGTGTTACAGAAATAGTTGAAAAGGCCTAGACCCTAACAGCATTGATAACAACGGATTAAAGATCACGATTTTGTTCGTTCTACTTTCCTCCAACTCATTAAAAACAAGAAATAAAAAATATTATTGTTGAATAGGCCTAATTTTAATAGATCTATGACGATGTGGCTTTGGTTGGTTGCTGTCTAATAGATCTATCTATTCTTAGGCCTAGGCCCTATACTATACCTATACAATTATAATTTTACTCTATAGATCTAGTAGTCTATAGATAGGCCTACTAGATCTAGAAATCTAGTAGATCTAAATCTGTACAATACTAATTAGGCCTACTAATTAATTATTCAAGATCTAGCTAGCTAGATTCTATAATCTATACAACAATTCATCACTAGATTTATACTATAGCCTCTAGATCTACATATTAGTACATATTCATGATATTCATACTGCATCATAGAGAATCTATTCTAGATTTAGATAAGATAGGATCTATTCTAGATGTCTAAATTACTAGAATCTAGATCATTTTATTGGATTTACTGTTCACGTAGATTTATATTTAAACAGTATTGAGTCAGTGAGTCCTAAATGCCTAATTAGTAATGATATAGTATAGACCTGTACATTACAACATAACATCAACATATATTTCATAATGACATAATATATTTCATTTGTGCTTTATCATTCCATCATTTCTATTTGATCTAACTATAAAATGACTGAAGTAAAAGGCTAAAAAGGTGTGGGTCCTAAATGAAAAGAATAGGCCTAAAGGCAATCAGCTAAAAAAATATAACCCTAGATCTAGATCTACATAAAAAGCTATGTCTACTAAATTACTAAACATAGTAAATAGAATCAGGCTGCCCCATAAGCCATAATAATAATTTTTAAAATTCAATTATTTTAAAGAATCCTGTATTCTGACTTATAAACTGTGGTTAATTCACCACAGCTTAAGTGATGTGTCACATGATAAACATTTCATTTGGCCTGCCATTTTGATTTTGAAATTTAGTTTTAAGAAATTGTATTTAATTTTGATTTTACAGTGGTAAAAATACTCTAAACTAAATATTCTTTTTTTTTTTTTTTTTTGTTCTCTGTGCCATTATGTTTTGGCTGATTCTAGCAGGAAAAAGATATGCATGTGCAATGGAGAGAAACTACAACTTGCCTTCGGCGATGTTTTCAATGGTACTGCGCATGCATGTGTTTACAACCGTAAAACCCTATCCCTTATCCCATCCCTAACCCTAGTCATAACCCTAGCTCAGCTATTAAGGTCATTGCGCATGCGCAGAACTATCTTTTGCAGACAAAGTGGAGACGCTGGGTCGAAAAATCTTTTATTGAGTAGTCACTTTGTTATGTTTTATATCAGTGCATATCAAATCAGAAGTTTAAAAATGTTTTCATTAATAGACTTACTCTTTAGGGAATTATTGCAATAAATTGTTTATTCTATTTTATACTTAGTTTTAATGTTTAGGCTTAAACTTTATTCATATTTATTTTTCTCTTAGGTACTTAAGAAGTTAAACACCAAGATATCACTGATGAGTCGACCAACTTTTGCTAAAACATATGGATTTCAATCCTTTGACTATCCTAGCTGCTGCTGCACTTGGAGAAAAGGATGCTCCGTCTGATCTAAAAGGTAGTGAATCAGGAACTAAGGACACTTGTGAAGCACCTGATAGTAAAGATGCTGAAGAAGAGTCAAATGAAGAAATGGGAAAAGCATCACATATTAATTTAAAGAACTCTCCAGGAGAAAAGGACAATGATGAAATGGCTCCACATAAAATTCCTTGGAGCCCACTCATCCCATCTCATTTAGAGAGTGAGACAGACAAAAATGTATTTTCTTTAGATGATTTGGTACAGGATATTAAGAAGAAAAGTAATGACCGAGTAATGCACTCTAGTCAGCAAGATTCAGAAAATAAAACAAAAGTGGATTCTAGACAAGAGTTGGCTGATGAATTTGTTTCCATACAAAATGCTATAAATAAGGAGACGAAACTGAATTCTCCAATCGGACATCACTGTCAAAATATCAGTGTTCTTAAAGAGTGCACAGAATTAGACAATAGTAAAAAAGAGTTTGAGCAAGATGATTCAAATAGTCGAAGTGATATAGACACTATGGATTCTGTTGACAGCAAATCTCCTGAGCAGACAGATTCTGCATCAGAAATGTCTTGCTCAGAGTGGATTTACCTTGATCATACATATGCTCTTGCACCCGGTCAAACACATCCTCCACTGTTGGCTGAGGAAGATGATGTGGATGTGTGTTCAGATCATAGTCCTTTAACTGAAGAAACTGAGCAGCGATCCCGTAATTTGTCTTTAGATTTCAATTATTTAAAATCTGGCATCTTGGAAGCAGTTTCTGCGAGCACTTTAGATCTGTATAAAATGTCTACCTCTGGTCTTGGTAGAAGCAAACTACCATCTTCATCTTCTTCTACATCATCACCCACTTCAGACTTATCTAAGGCATCAAACTGTGTTTCTGGTACAGAAAATGGTGAGCTGTTCTCTACTAATCAACCTGGTGTATCCAGTACCCCTGTAAGATGTACACCAAAGTATGGGAAGTACAAAATAGGAACCTTTGCATCATTTAGTTCTAGCAACTTAGAACTTGAAAAATATTTGAGGAACAAGGATCTTTTAAACAAGAGAAAATTGAGGATTGGTATACCAGCAGAAGGTAGTTCACCATCTGCTTCCCCTGTTTCACTTGCACTTGTTCAGTCTCCAAGTTTAGACTGGGACAGATCAGAAGCCAGTTCTGAAACACAGGATGACAGCTCTGATGCAAGAACCCCTCACAGAATGTCACCAGACATGACAACAGAGAAAGTAACTGAATGGTCTCATCCAATGTATCATGACCATGATTACTGTGTAAAAATATCAGAGTTCAGTAACCAAAGTGATTTAGGGAAGCAAACTGTTAAAAGGAAGTATACAAAAAGAAAAAACAAAACTGAATGTTTGAATCATGAAAAGATCATGAAAGCAAAATACTTAAAGAAAGAACTTCTAAAACAGGATACTTTTATTAAAGCATGTGTTCAGCCTGAGCCTCTTCCTGCTGATTCTTCTGTGATAAAAACAAACCCTGTTGGTCGACCAAGAAAAAGACCAATAGAGAAAATTATTGAAGAAGAAATTGATCCAGAAACTGGAACTAAGTTAAAAATTACTGGCAGATTCCAAGATCAATATGTCTATTATTTATCCAAGTCTTCCAGAAGCACTACAAGAAGAAGGCAAACTCCACTATTTCCCTCTTTATCTGACAAAATCATTGTACCTGCACCTAAACCTGGGGATATTGTAGTGCCCCATCTTACTGATGCAGATATAGAGACTATTAGACTCCAAGGGCGTGGAGCTCTTAATCTTCCTGAAAGACCACAGATGAACATATCTCATGTTACATCTGCCATTTCTACAATTCCTTCAAGCAGCCATTCACATGAATCATTTTCAGATGTGGATAGCCACATAGTAAGCACTATACTGAGCATGGAAAGTGACAATTTGTCTTCACCAACTACTTCTCACGCTCCAGATATCAGTTCATCAGGACTAAACCCCAATCAGCAAACATTAACAGAAAGTTTAAGATTAATGAGTGGAGATTCAAACATAACTTCTGAGCATGTTCTCAATTATCTACTCAGTGTTGTTAAGGACGATGGCTTACTTGGCTCAGGATCAGGGTTTGACAGCAGCAGCTCAGCATTATTTCCATCCATCCCCACTGATGCAGTTTACTCCAAGTCTGATCATGGTGTATCTCATCATGACCTCAGCCAGTCAGACAGCTGTATAACTAGTTCAAACATGAGCCATGAATTACTGGAAATGGGGAAAGATTTACACAACACGTTCAGCAATAGTCAGATACTCAGGGATCATTCTCATGACAGTCTAGTCCACACTGGCATGGATAAAGACCATATGGATGAAAGTGGTTTGCCTGATGATCTTTCATCTTTCATGTCCAACTCTCAGGAAACTTCATCATCCAGCACAACACATGATGGAGATTCACATAGCTCACTCAAAAGTATGTTTGGGTCAGACCTTAGTTCTCTAGGAACTCCCCAGCTGTCATCTTCTGTTTCTCGACTTACTTCCATAGAAAAGACTTTGGATTATTTGGTTGGAACAAGAGATGATGAAATGAAATTGCACTGTCCTGACCTGAATCAGAAATTGGACCAAGGTTGTGAACTTCCACTCCCCTCCCTCTCTGTCTCCTCTGATGACACTCCTTGGATTGTCACTGTAACACTTTATTTTAATGATGTTCCTGCCATTATGATCAATAACCAGCCATACATAAGACTGGTTGATATTCACAAGCAGATACTTCCTGCTAAAGACACTGGGATTTTAAAGAAAAGGTGTCAGTTGTTGAAGATTCCAGTTTTGAATTGTACAGAAATGCAACGTTATTTTCTTGTGCAATATGGACGTGCATATAATTCAAAAAGTACTTTGGTAATTTCTAAAGAACAAGCAAATAATCTAGTAACCTACTATGCTACACCACAGCCACGCGTGGGAAAGACAGAGGAATCGCACCCTAGGAGAGCTAGCAGTGGTGGCTCAGAGAGTGGTCCTAGGTCACCTGCCAGTACCACTTCTACTAAAAATTTAAGAAAGCGTGGACCAAACAAAATTAAAAAAGCTAGTGTGTCTAGGTAAGAGCCTTATACTAGTGTCAATTTTTTAAAACTAAACTGTTGAACTACTGATATTGATAGGCTGAACCTTTAGATTCCAGTGCCATGAACTTGAACATATTACAAGTACATTTTTCCTCCATTTACTAATTTTGTAGTATTTAGCAATAATGTAGCTCTACTTATATTACTTCTCAAACTTCAATACTTTTATACCTTGTACATTAACGTTTATGAGTTGAAATAATCTTACTATCAGTTCATCACACCCACTCCCTGGGTGTGTAGTGTAAGTATACTTGAGTAAGTGGTGAGGATTTCGTGGTTCATTTAAAATTTAGCTAATGTGCTTATAGGTTCTAAACTTTTTTTTCTTGCACACAAAACATGTAAGTTTAGAATGAAAGTGCTCATTTTAATAACACAAACCCTGGTAAATTAAGTAATGGATCATGTAAACATTACCTAACATAATACCTAATAAATAAAGGCCTTTATCTACCAACTTACTATCAACCCCTATACAAATGTTAAAAATCTAATAAGGTACAGTACCACTTAGCCCTAGTGAGAGGTTACGAGTATGTTAAAAGGTCATGAGCCCTAAGTGAACCATAAAACCACAAAGTATACATTTTCTTAATTGATTCTACCTATTTTCAAAAACAGACATTTCCGTAAAGAATAATCAACTGTATAAATTAGTAGTTTTGCAGTGTTAAAGGGCTTAATTCACAATATACCCTATTGAATTAGGTGTAATAAATTTCTTAAGATGTCCTTGTAATTGTGATGGGTTGTGAGCTTGATACTAATATTTTGAACTTGATACTACTACTACTGACCTTGACTTTACATTTTTAAGCAGCCTATATATACTACTAAAAGTGAGAAAGTTGGTATTTTATTTTGTTTCGTTTTTTATCTTTTTGGTTACATGAGAGCATTTGCACTATGTGTAGAACTGTATAAAATACCTATTTATGAAGAGAATAATATTTTTTACCAAACTGTTAAACACAAATTTATTTTAAGACCTTAATAAATTTATTGATGTATTCATTGATAGAAACAATTTTAATTATTAATTAGTTCAGAACAAGTTCTTTACAGTGACGTCACATGATTCATTTACTTATTTTTCACAACAAACAATGAAACATGGCATCTTAAATGGAAGACCATGTTGCTTACTCAAAAGTTTAATGCATTATAAAAAACACAATAAATAGAGTTTCTTTATTAAGCAATTTTAGTCCTAAAGCTAGATGTAGATTGAAAATCCAGATATAGATTCTAGCTCTATCTAGATCATGGGTTCCCAAACTGGGGGTCGCGAAGGGCTTTCTGGGGGGGGGGGGGGGGTCGCCAAATGGTAGACTAAATTCTAGCAATGAATAAAAAACATAAATATTTTGAAAAATATTTGAAATTCAGAATTACTAACATCACTGGACATGGAATAGAGAATAAACAATTTGTAGTGTGCAAAGTTGTTCTTAGTCAGGAGTCAATGAAACCTTCCAAACGTCAATTTGAGATGAGTCATTCGGAACACACCAAAAAAGATATGTAGTTCTTTCGTCGGCATGAAGCTAGTTGCAAGCGTCAGAGACTTGTTCGAACAGAACTTTTTCACCAAGAAAACACAGCATTATTGCAAAGATCATATGAAGTAGTATTAGAAATTGCCAAGCAAAAAACCTCTCACACATAGGAGAAAATCTCATCAAACCATGTATGCTGAAGATGGTAAAATTAATTCTTGGGGATTCCAGTGCAGTAAAGATGCAACAAATATCTCTGTCTAATAATACTATACAGCGGCTTATGTTAAAAGACAAATTTTGAATGAAATCAAGCTTTCACCATTGTTTGATTTTCAAGTTGACGAATCGACAGACGTGAGTTCGTGTTCGCAGTTGCTTGTCTTTGTGAAATATATTCATTCAGATGTTAGCAAATAAGAGTTGATGTTTTGTGAAGATATCATGGAGAAAATAAATACGTTTTTTGAAACTGGAGGATTAAAACAGGAAAAAGGCTGTGGGGCTTGTACGGATGGTGCATCAAAATGGGGGTTTCAGTAAAAGGTAAAAGATTTAGCTCCCTAATGAAGAGGAATCCACTGCATGATTCACATATGCCCTCGCCAGCAAGACTTATCAGACTCCATTGCTAATAAAAGTCGTAAATCATATTAAATCTGGAGCCCTAAACACCTGTCTGTTTCAAGAACTGTGCAAAGACATGAATAAAGATCACGAGGTTCTACACTTCAGTACGCTGGCTGTCAATAGGAAATGTCAATCGTGTTTTTGAATTGAAAGATGAAATCAAGATGTTCTTGGAAGTGCAAGGAAACAAGACCTTTTGATATACTTTAACGACAAGGTGTGGTTTGAGAGCAGATATATTCAAACATCAACATAAGCTTAACCTGAAAATGAACGAATATTATCTCTTTTCATGATAATCTCTTGGCATTTTTATCAAAGCTGCAAAATTGGCGAGGAAAAATAAATATTTGAAATACTGTCATGTTTGAGAAACTCTGCAGTGTGGTGTGATAGATAAAAAATTTAAAGGATTCTGTGCATCTTGAATCTCTTGACAACAAACTGCGGCGTTATTTTCCCCGAGCTGAAAGAAGAAGAATCTGCTTTGTCACCCATTCTCTGCTTTCCTTGATGTTACCAGCATTGTCGATGAATAACAAGATGAATTCTTAAATTTGCAAAATTTAATTGTTAATGCTTGTTAATAGCATGTAATTTTGCTCATCGTATTAAAACAGTTATCAAGAATAATTCATATTGAAAGTCTACTAAAAATCTTAATTTAGTGCTTATTATTTTCTTTACTAATTTCGACTTGTTATTTATATGGGGGTCGCGGGTCACTTACGTTTTATTAAAGGGGGTCGCCACTTGAAAAAGTTTGGGAACCACTGATCTAGATCAAGGTCAAAAATGAGTTTCTGTACTAAAGTATTTCAGGCCATAAACTATAATAAACCGGGAGTGATCTCCCCTAAACTTTCTCGAATATTCTTATATAAAATAACGGGATGGGAACTCGGGCTATAGACATGATTTTTAATCCATTTTAAATACTTAAAGTTTTAAAAATAGAATAAAATCTTGTAGACAAATTAATTGCACACCAAGTGAACGCCAAATAAAAAAGCGCATAATAGTGCGCAATATTATTAGTACTTCTAAAATTTACATTAGTTTTTTGAGAAATCGAAAGTAGCGTAAATTACTACTTCCAGTCAACGGAAATTACTCAAAATTTAACAGAAGGTAGAGAATTAGATCTTTTACTTACATGTGAAATTTCATGTATCTATCTGAAATAGTACTCAAGTTATAGGCTTTTGAAAAATTCAAAGTAGGAAAAGTACCACTTCCGGTTATCGAAAATCGCTCAAAAGTTGATACGGATCTACGATTTTGATAAAATACTTATATATGAAATTTCATCAACCTAGCTGTAACGGTACTCAAGTTATCGTGTTTACACACAGACACACACACACACAGACATACGGACAAGATTGCAAAATTATGTTTTTCCGTATCAGTGAGGTGTAAAACGTATATACCAGAAAGTAAAAAGCAATGTGTGTGTGTCTGTCTTTTATGCATTACTACACCTTTCATCCGATCGCCATGAAACTTTAAGGAGTTGATTAGAACACTCCTGGGGAGGTTCATGCGGAACCAATTTCAATTTTGTACCGGCCACGCCCCAGTAGAAAGTAATTTGGCGCCCCAGGTTATCCGGATGCCTAGGCGCCTACGTTAGTTTTAAACAGTGTGATAGACTAGAATAAGATGGGGTGTTTAGTCACTCACTAAAGCGAGTCACTCAGTCAGGCGCGTTCACGGCCCCCGACAGTGCACGTGTCACTAAATATAAATAACTTAAAATGTTTTAGTCAGTAGCTTAAGTACTTTAGTAAATAAGCTAAAGGTCTTCCATATTTTAGACTAAACATGAATGATGAAAGCTAGGTTTTATTTATTTGGGCATTCTGTAATAAGCAGGAAATCTATAATGTTAAAACCACCAGAATTGCAAATATACTCTGCTTAAAGGTTTCTGTTATATGTCATAGAAGCTAGGTGTGCTCACGTTTTTATTTCTGTTTGACTCTTGCATAAACAGTTATAGGCTTCGTTCTTAATGGAAACATAATGGAGCCTTGTGTGTCAACATATCTGTTGGTTCAGACTCCCAAACCGGGACTTTTAGAGTTCTTTGTCATGCATAATACTGAACAAGTTGTTCCCACTGATAAGTACCCAAGGAAAATAGTTGGCAATCCCCCTTCTAAATTTCACTGGCTTAAAAATTATTTCTATTCACAGTATTTTCTACACAGAGAATCTGTTTTTTTATACTTTAGAGTTTAACTTCATTGCTGGTATTTTTTAATATGCTATGGTGTGAAACATACTAGATTTCTAACCCTAGAGGTTCATTCTTGCAGTCAATTTTACAAAATAACTTGACTTTTGAATGACATTTTTGCAGACGTGCACCTGTCTTATTTCTTTTAGTAATTTCATACTGAAACAGAATGTAATAAACATTTCTATTTTACTTTCAGTTGTGTTGAAGTCTCTGGTGAAACAACTACACAAAGTTCAGCAACTGAGGACTTGCATGCCAATCAGAACAAGAGGACAAGACACAAAAAAGTTAATTATCGTGAGATGTTGAAAGGAGAAGAAAGAGAAAAGTCAGTAGCTGCCGCTATTCTTGAAACAATTGAAGCTGTGGCTAAATCTGGCCCGGATTATGTGACAGAAGGAAGAAGAAACAAATTATCTTCCTTAAAATCAGCTAAAGGTCACTCCAACTGTGATAAAAAAAAGAAAAAGTTAGTACCACATAAAATTAAGAAAAGAGATTTGGATTCTAAAATAAATAAAGACAAATATAGAAATGGTTTTCGGAAAATGAAATTAGCTACTAGTAATAAAAAAAGTGAAAAGCATGAAATTGAAGAAACATCAGACATTGATTCTGATGATGAACTGAGTGCTACACAGAGTAAAAAATTCAAACCATTGAAACTTAAAGTGAATAGTTTGTTGAATTTTGCTGGTCAGCGTAAAGGATCATCCCCCGCTAAAAAAGGTCTGTTTTCTCGCAGTAATTCTTGCACATCTCCTACTGGCGAGAGATCTGTCAGAGTTTTGGCGGTGGCCCACCAAGCTGCTGTGTCAGGGGGCAATGATGCCGAGTCTCATCTCCCCTCCCAGCCAGCAGACATACATTTGGACCTGTTCACTCAGTCCAACTCTGCCTGTGTGCGCTGCCAAACTTGCAGTCAGTTCCTTTCTGTGCCACATTTTATGCGCCACCACCATGTGCCAATGGATAGTGAATGGCTTGCCACAGAAGCTGCACACAGAATTCTGGTTCCTCGAAATAAAGAAAACATTTCAGAGAGTGAAAAGATACTATGGGAAGAATTTCATCGTCTACAAGAAGCTATAGGTGGCTTTGGAGAAGCTGATGATGAAACTGATACAGATGATTGTGACTATGATGAGGATGAGGGAGATGATGCGAGTTCACTGGAGCTCTCTGGTGCTTCATCTTGCCTACTGAGCAGGAGTAATGAGGAGGATGTGCTGGCTGCTGGCACCCCACCAGTCTGTCAGGCCACCTCATCCAAACTGACTCAGGGATTAGACACACTAGCTCACGGCCAAGGAACTCAAGAAATTACTTCACATTTAAGGACAAGTTCTCGTAAAAGAAAGTCAAAACAATTGTTTTCTATTGAAAATTATTACACTCAAAATAGAACAAAGTCAAATGATGATGAACCAGCAGATGTTGGAAGTGCATCAACATGATCAGGTTGGCAGGCCATGAGCTGAGTCAGCCCGGGACCATTGCATTACTAAAATAACTTGTACATGTATGGGTTGTGTTTTTGGAATTAAACCTTGTGGGTTCTTGTTCTTATTTGTAAATAGTTCAGAAAAAAGTTGTATACATTTAATGTACATTTTCTGTTTTATCATGTCTTTTAGTACACTTGGTTATTGATGGCTTTGTTGTTTATTGGTACCGACCTACAATGATATATTTTTATACTACTAGAAAATTATCCACTAGCGTATATTTAGGCATGTTCCTATGATTTCAAAGATTGAGCACTTATATAAGACACACCCTCAGACTTTTTGCTCTGGTTCAGTGAATAAAAACATTAACTTTTTTGTTTCTAGCAGAATAGGAAGTGTATTAACAATGAATGAACTAATGTGGATAATGGACTGAGATTTTTACTCTTTGTATATTTGTATGTAAATAAAATGTCAATGGACTGAATTTAACATTGAATAGGACTAGAGAGACAGCTTTTGAGATATATCTTTTTTTTTATATTATCTGTGATATTGGTATTTTGTTTTTGCCATGAATTTTTAAAAAAGAAAATGTCCATCTTGGGGAAGATGGGGGAAAACAGTATGTATGCTGTATGTTGTACTAAATTTGCAACTGCTTGACGTAAACAAATACTGGAAGTGTTAGTTCATGTTGGTGGTTGCTGCTTCATTGTATAGCATATTGTAGGTGTCAAGTATCAGAATAAATTTGAGCAGAGAAATTTTCATTCTTTTCTTTTTATACTTGTGGCCCTCTTCTGGATTCATTTCTGTGGTCCTTGACTTAGAAATGATTTAGTTGTAAGATTTTAGTTGGTTGTTTCATCCAGATGGTATTACAGAAGAAAGACTTAGCTTCTTGATAGGTTGATAGGCTCTAGATGAATTAACAATGGACAAGTCACCCACATTGCTACAATGTCAGCTACATGCAGTTACTTACTAGTAGTACATTTTTCCAATGTATCTCCTTTTAATTTTCAAATTAAAAGAAACTAATAATGCAGCTTTAAAATAAATTTCTAAAGCCTTAGTCAATAAAAAAAAACCTCAAATGTTTAAATTTGAAAAGTAATTGTACATCCTCATCATTGTTACAGTTCTTAACTTGTTCTGTTTTTGTCATTTCTTTTGGTGTTCTCCTTCGAGTTACTGAACAATAACCAATTATTATTGATGGAATCTTTGTAAAAATTGATAAATAATAGAATTTTTATACTGAATGGCTTGCTTTGATGCACCTAAGATTATGAATTGTACAAAATATTGCCATGAAGAAAGTGCTTCTGGATACTAGTAGACAAGCTATTCTTGCACAAGTTCTGGCTGTTTGGACTCAAGCAATTCTTGCACAAGTTCTGGCTGTTTGGACTCAAGCAATTCTTGCACAAGGTTTCCAAATTCTAGTACTTTCTTCATAAAGCTATGCCATGGGTAAAGTCAGTTACAAGTTACATTGAATAAAATGTGCTCACAAAGCTAGCACCATTTTCAAGAGTAATCAAACCCCTTTCAGATTGGATTGTCCAATAATACCCTCAGCTGTGTTAGGTGGAAACCCCCTTCCCCCTGCTATCCTATTTGTTCAGTGTAAGATCATCTGTTGGGGTATAATGTACAATAGCCAGTACTACCAACTCGTAGGTACCACAGAATAGCCTCACAGTACTACAAACTAGTAGGTACCACAGAATAGCCTCACAGTACTACAAACTAGTAGGTACCACAGAATTGCCTCACAGTACTACAAACTAGTAGGTACCACAGAATAGCCTCACAGTACTACAAACTAGTAGGTACCACAGAATAGCCTCACAGTACTACAAACTAGTAGGTACCACAGAATTGCCTCACAGTACTACAAACTAGTAGGTACCACAGAATAGCCTCACAGTACTACAAACTAGTAGGTACCACAGAATAGCCTCACAGTACTACAAACTAGTAGGTACCACAGAATAGCCTCACAGCACTACAAACTAGTAGGTACCACAGAATAGCCTCACAGCACTACAAACTAGTAGGTACCACAGAATAGCCTCACAGTACTACAAACTAGTAGGTACCACAGAATAGTCTCACAGTACTACAAACTAGTAGGTACCACAGAATAGCCTCACAGTACTACAAACATGTAGGCACCACAGAATAGCCTCACAGCACTACAAACTTGTAGATACCACAGAATAGCCTCACAGTACTACAAACTTGTAGGTACCACAGAATAGCCTCACAGCACTACAAACTAGTAGGTACCACAGAATAGCCTCACACAATAGCCTCACAGCACTACAAACTAGTAGGTACCACAGAATAGCCTCACACAATAGCCTCACAGCACTACAAACTAGTAGGTACCACAGAATAGCCTCACAGCACTACAAACATGACAGCATGTAAGGTAAGAAACAAATGAAACCTGGTGTAGAGATCAAATGGTCTGCATTAGGAAATCAATGTTGTCTTGAACTGGCCAGATTTGAGGCTGATTAGCTTTGACAACTGTAGGATAGGGAGGGGTGGGTTACGTAGGCCTCATGGTGAAATCTATAGCGTGGTATTTGGACGTCAGGGGAGGGGGTGGTAGGTTTTTGTTGGGTTGGACGTCAGGGGTGGTAGGTTTTTGTTGGGTGGGACGTCAGGGGTGGTAGGTTTTTGTTGGGTGGGACGTCAGGGGTGGTAGGTTTTTGTTGGGTGGTAGGTTTTTGTTGGGTGGGACGTCAGGGGTGGTAGGTTTTTGTTGAGTGGGACGGGTGGTAGGTTTTTGTTGGGTGGGACGTCAGGGGTGGTAGGTTTTTATTGGGTGGGTCGTCAGGGGTGGTAGGTTTTGTTGGGTGGTAGGTTTTTGTTGGGTGGGACGTCAGGGGTGGTAGGTTTTTGTTGGGTGGGACGTCAGGGGTGGTAGCTTTTTATTGGGTGGGACGGGTGGTAGGTTTTTGTTGGGTGGGACGTCAGGGGTGGTAGGTTTTTGTTGGGTGGGACGTCAGGGGTGGTAGGTTTTTGTTGCGTGGGACGTCAGGGGTGGTAGGTTTTTGTTGGGTGGGACGTCAGGGGTGGTAGGTTTTTATTGGGTGGGACGTCAGGGGTGGTAGGTTTTGTTGGGTGGTAGGTTTTTGTTGGGTGGGACGTCAGGGGTGGTAGGTTTTTGTTGAGTGGGACGGGTGGTAGGTTTTTGTTGGGTGGGACGTCAGGGGTGGTAGGTTTTTGTTGGGTGGGACGTCAGGGGTGGTAGGTTTTTGTTGGGTGGGACGTCAGGGGCGGTAGGTTTTTGTTGGGTGGGACGTCAGGGGTGGTAGGTTTTTGTTGGGTGGGACGTCAGAGTGGTAGGTTTTTGTTGGGTGGGACGTCAGGGGTGGTAGGTTTTTATTGGGTGGGACGTCAGGGGTGGTAGGTTTTGTTGGGTGGTAGGTTTTTGTTAGGTGGGACGTCAGGGGTGGTAGGTTTTTGTTGGGTGGGACGTCAGGGGTGGTAGGTTTTTGTTGGGTGGGACGTCAGGGGTGGTAGGTTTTTGTTGGGTGGGACGTCAGGGGTGGTAGGTTTTGTTGGGTGGTAGGTTTTTGTTGGGTGGTAGGTTTTTGTTGGGTGGGACGTCAGGGGTGGTAGGTTTTTGTTGGGTGGGACGTCAGGGGTGGTAGGTTTTTGTTGGGTGGGACGTCAGGGGTGGTAGGTTTTGTTGGGTGGTAGGTTTTTGTTGGGTGGGACGTCAGGGGTGGTAGGTTTTTGTTGGGTGGGACGTCAGGGGTGGTAGGTTTTTGTTGGGTGGTAGGTTTTTGTTGGGTGGGACGTCAGGGGTGGTAGGTTTTTGTTGGGTGGGACGTCAGGGGTGGTAGGTTTTTGTTGGGTGGTAGGTTTTTGTTGGGTGGGACGTCAGGGGTGGTAGGTTTTTGTTGGATGGGACGTCAGGGGTGGTAGGTTTTTGTTGGGTGGGACGTCAGGGGTGGTAGGTTTTTGTTGGGTGGGACGTCAGGGGTGGTAGGTTTTTAGTTGGGTGGGACGTCAGGGGTGGTAGGTTTTTATTGGGTGGGACGTCAGGGGTGGTAGGTTTTTGTTGGGTGGGACGTCAGGGGTGGTAGGTTTTTGTTGGGTGGGACGTCAGGGGTGGTAGGTTTTTGTTGGGTGGGACGTCAGAGGTGGTAGGTTTTTGTTGGGTGGGACGTCAGGGGTGGTAGGTTTTGTTGGGTGGTAGGTTTATGTTGGGTGGTAGGTTTTTAGTTGGGTGGGACGTCAGAGGTGGTAGGTTTTTGTTGGGTGGTAGGTTTTTGTTGGGTGGGACGTCAGGGGTGGTAGGTTTTTGTTGGGTGGGACGTCAGGGGTGGTAGGTTTTTAGTTGAGTGGGACGTCAGGGGTGGTAGGTTTTTGTTGGGTGGGACGTCAGGGGTGGTAGGTTTTTGTTGGGTGGTAGGTGTTTGTTGGGTGGGACGTCAGGGGTGGTAGGTTTTTGTTGGGTGGGACGTCAGGGGTGGTAGGTTTTTGTTGGGTGGTAGGTTTTTGTTGGGTGGTAGGTTTTTGTTGGGTGGTAGGTTTTTGTTGGGTGGGACGTCAGGGGTGGTAGGTTTTTGTTGGGTAGGACGTCAGGGGTGGTAGGTTTTGTTGGGTGGGACGTCAGGGGTGGTAGGTTTTGTTGGGTGGTAGGTTTTTGTTGGGTGGTAGGTTTTTGTTGGGTGGGACGTCAGGGGTGGTAGGTTTTTGTTGGGTGGGACGTCAGGGGTGGTAGTTTTTTGTTGGGTTGGACGTCAGGGGTGGGGGTGGTAGGTTTTTGTTGGGTGGGACGTCAGGGGTGGTAGGTTTTTAGTTGGGTGGGACGTCAGGGGTGGTAGGTTTTTGTTGGGTGGGACGTCAGGGGTGGTAGGTTTTTGTTGGGTGGGACGTCAGGGGTGGTAGGTATTGTTGGGTGGTAGGTTTTTGTTGGGTGGTAGGTTTTTGTTGGGTGGTAGGTTTTTGTTGGGTGGTAGGTTTTGTTGTGTGGTAGGTTTTTGTTGGGTGGTAGGTTTTTGTTGGGTGGGACGTCAGGGGTGGTAGGTTTTTGTTGGGTGGGACGTCAGGGGTGGTAGGTTTTTGTTGGGTGGGACGTCAGGGGTGGTAGGTTTCTCTTCGGTCGCCTAGGGCAGTAGGTTTCCGTGTTGCCTTGTTTTTGTAGCTAATAGGCCAAGTCGTGTCGTGTTCTACCGTGATCACACGCCACAATGGCGGATAAACACACTCCTTGCTACACACTGACGACAATGTGAAAGTTGATATAGATCTAGGCTATCAAGAAGTAGCATATTTTTACCATCTTATGAAAACAATGTTTACCAAATGCTGTATGCAACACACTTACTAATGCTGTGTGTGTTGGGGGAGGGGGGGGGGTCAGTGACACAGTAGATAGGCCGACATCAGTTCGTTAGCCTAGGTGTGTAAAATGCTTTACAAGTTTAGCTGAATGGGAGTTTCTACTGCGGTACCGTGCTATGTGGCACAATACCGTGCCGTGTGGCACAATACCGTGCCGTGTGGCACAATACCGTGCCGTGTGGCACAATACCGTGCCGTGTGGCACAATACCGTGCCGTGTGGCACAATACCGTGCCGTGTGGCACAATACCGTGCAGTTTCTTCATGCCGCTGATATGCGCGGTAAACACTGACGGCTAGCTACCAGTCAATGGCTACATACGAGTCTAGACCCTGCTACCTGCATGTGTGGCTACAGGTCCTGCTACCTGCATGTGTGGCTACAGG